AAATGTGACACAAAACTATATAAGAGTCAATCGAAAGTTTATATGTTGCACAGCCGAAAGTTTAATTCTGAAACTTCATTGTGTAACAATATCCAGATAAATTCTGATCGAATATTTCGGATAACAGATAACGGATACCTGACAATTATCTGGATAAACACTTAGTGGATTGATGTTAATTTCTTTTTCTAAAAAAAAAAAAATTATTTAAAAAGTTTATTGACTCATTGCAAATACGTATTCATTTAGTGATGGGCACGCGCGGGATCCATGTGTGATCCCGCGCAGGATCCCACGCATGATGCGCGGAATTTTTTTAGATCCCGCACGGGATTTTTAATATGATCCAAAATAAAATTATCCGGCCGGCATTACCAAATTATCTGGCTGGCATTAATATAATATTTGGATTTATCTAGGCAATTTCTAATTAATAATTGACCTGCATCGATATGTATGGAATTTATTTGCTTGTATATCGTTTCACATATGCATATCATGTTTAATATATTTTTATATAGATATGTGCACTTCTATGTAGAATCTATTTGTTTGTATGCACTTCTACGTAGAATTTATTTGTTTGTGTATACTTCTATATAGTACACACGTCTTTATTTATTTTTTTGTAAATTATTTTACATATTTGTATATATGTAATAAAATTTTATTTTTTTGCCGTTGGTATCTTTTGTTTGCTAAAAATTTTTTTTACTACATATAATAAATAAATAGAAATATTATTAAATCATTCATTTAACAATAACTATAACATGGGTGGTAATCATGATATTTGGAAGCATTTTACAAAAATAGGACCAGATAAAGACTTTAAACAAGGACGTGCCCAATGTAATTACTGTGATCATAAATGTAATGAATCAGTAGTAAGATGTGAAGGACATTTAAAAGTATGTGATCATGCTGATTTAGAAACTAAGCAACAATATTTTGGATCTACATTTCCAGAATCAATAAAAAAAAATCCAGTAATAAATATTAATAGGCAAAAAAATACAAGTATTCAAAATTTTCTTGATAGAATTTCTCAGTCTGAACAAGATGATATTGAATTATCTGTTGCTCAAACAATTTTTGAATGTGGCTTGTCTTTATCTTTATTAGAATTAAAGCCAGTAAAAAAATTGTTTAAAAAAATTAGACCAGCTTTAAAATTACCAAGCAGAAAAAAACTTTCAACAACTTTATTAAACAAAATATATGAAAATACTAAAGATGAAATTGATAAAATAATTAATAAAGCTGAATTTATTAGTATAATTAGTGATGGATGGTAAATATTTTATTTTATTAGTAAAATTATTTAAATTTAATTAATTTTATTTTATATTTAAAAATTAATTATTTTTAGATCAAATTTAGTTGCAGAACATTGGACAAATTATATTATTTCTACACCAGTTCCTGTGTTTGTATTTGCTAAACCAACAGGTGAAATTCAACAAAATGGTATTAATATTGCAGCAGATTTAGAAAAAATTATTTTAACTTATAATTTAGAAAAAGTTTCAGCAATTATAACAGATAATGCATCTGTTATGAAAAAAGCATGGAAAATTTTAGATAAAAAGTATCCAAAAATTGTTTTTATGGGTTGTTTAGCTCATAATATTAATTTACTTGTTCATGATATTATTAAATTAGATTGGGCACAAGAAATATTATCAAATGCAATATTAATAGTCAAATATTTTAAGAATCATATAATTCCTGCAGCAATTTTAAAAAAATATCAAGAAAATAAATATGAATCAAATTATAAAACTCTTAAATTACCTGTTGAAACAAGATGGAGTTCAGCTGCAAATTGTTTAGATTCAATTAAATTTAATCAATTAGCAATTAGTTTATCTATTACTGAATTAATTAATCATTCAACTGTTTCTGTTGATTTAGATATTAAAAATATTATTCAAGATAATGAATTTTGGAATGAAGTTCAAAACTTATTAGTTATTTTAAAGGTTTTAGCAAGTGGAATTACAATTTTTGAAGGAAATACTTCATATTTATCACAGTTTTATAAATGGTATAAAAATCTTGAAAATAATAAATGTAAATATTAAAATTTTTACTATAGATAAATATATAATTATTATATAAATTATAGTATAATTTAAAATAACTAATTTTTTATATTATACTTTTATAATAATTATATATTTTATCTATACTAAAAATTAATTTTATATTAATTTTTATTTAATTTAAATTTTTATAATATATATTAAAACTAACTATTTTATTATATAAAAATATTATTTATAGGTTTAACAAATAGTAGAGTTTTTGTAGATATTTATGATATTATTTTAAAAAGATGGAATAGTATGTATAACCCTGTAATTGAAATAGCATATCTTATTGATTCTAGATTTCAAGGAAAAACTTTAAATAATGATATTATGACAACAGTATCTAATTTTGTTCAAAAACATTATCCTGAAACTTGTACTAAAATCTATAGTCAATTATTAGAATATTTAAATCATTCAGGACCTTTTAATAATACTATGGCATGGGAATCAGTTAATAGTGTTGATCAATTAACATGGTGGTCTGGAAAATTTTCAAACTCAGCTCCTGAACTTGTTCAATTTGCAAAAAGAATTTTAACAATACCTACATCATCTGCAGCAGCAGAGCGTAATTGGTCTAATTTTAGTTATATACATTCAATAAAACGAAATAGACTTAAACCATCAAATGTTTTTAAACTAGTTTATATATTTAGTAATAGTAAACTAAATAATTCTTATAATACTAAAAAAGAATTATTTAGTAAAAAAATTGAAATTGATAATATAGATTGTTTTGATATTGATAAATTTGATTTAGAAAATGATTTTTGGGAAGATATTTTTTATGATAGTGAAAATGAATTAGATTTATTTGAGGATGATAATTCAGAAGAATTAAATATTGATTATTATAATGATAGTCAATATAGTGATAATCAATATAGTGATAATCAATATAGTGATATTGAAGAATAAAATATTAAAAGTAAGAAAATTTTAAATAATTATAATTAAATTTAAATTTTAATAATATTTATTAATTTTAATTATTTAAATTTATTAGATAATAAATATAGAGTATAAAAATTAAAAAATATATAAAAAAAATTAAAATTAAAAAAAATACAAAAAAAATTAAAATCAAAAAATACAAAAAAAAATTAAAATTATAAAATATAAAAAAATATTAAAATTATAAAAATATAAAAAAATGTTAAAATTATAAAAATATAAAAAAATTATTAAAATTATAAAATATAAAAAAAACTCTGGCTAAATTGTTATAAATATTTTTAAAAATTAAATTGGTAAGCATATTAGTTTATTTTTTATTTTTATTTATTAGAATAATTATTAATTAATTTATTTATTTAATTTTTTAATTTTAATTATAAAAAATTTAGCAAAATCAGAATTAATTAAAATTTTAAATATTTAAATATTTCAATATGAAATTAATAAGATTAAATTACTTTATGTTTAAATTTTATAAGAATTCTATGTAAATTTTCAACTATTTTTTATGTAGGCAAAATCTATATAAGTATTTCTTATTTATAATAAATAAGATTTATAAGAAATAACTAATTCGAACAAGAAAATAATTTTTATTGATAATTCTGTACTGTTTTTTTTTATTAAACGCAAAAATTAAAAATTCTTCGAACTTGTAATCCTATCCTGCGCTGGATCCCGCGTGGGATATGAATCCCACGCGGGATCCGCATGTGACGCACAGAATTTTTGAAAAAACCGCGATTTGCCCATCTCTATATTCATTTAATATGCGTTAATCAGTTTTATTATTGTATGCAAAGTCTTATCAGCATTAAGAACTGACCCGAGTCGTTTTTCAATTGGTAATATACATATGAAATTGTTAGATCTACATTATAGCTGTTTCTATAAATTCTGGGACACTTGAAAAATAACCGAAATGATAAGTTTTTGACATCAGCCAAAGTCAGTAACTTATTG